AAACCAGTATGTGAATGTAATAATAATGATAATGATTGGCGGTGATGGGAGGGAAGGGCATGCGAAAAAGTGGGACAAATGCTCGAGGAGACCACCTGCCAGCAGGGAGTACTTGTCGGAAGAAAACGGTAAAAAACGACGCAGGAGACGGGGAGCGGAATCGACAAAATAACGCTACAGTCACAAGCACGATGGACAAACACATTTTGACGGGATCACCGTGGCACGCTACGACGACAGGGCAGAAAATTGGAGTGGTCAACCTACGGAACAGAAACGTGGATAAAAATGTGACAGTCAGGACGAAATACTTCCAATGAAGATGTGAATATTTACAAAAGGATTGTAAAATAAGTTGATGGTGTAGATATAGTATAGTGTTTGCTGTCGTTTGATTGCGTATAACCAAACATGTACAGAAGCCAAACGAAAAAGTCGGTATGAAGACGTTGCTCCGAATTCTGGCAATTTCCTTCTGCGGAGGTCATCATCGCGAACAAACAAACCAAGTAGGAATACAGCTGTTCTAATCAATGCAATTACATGAGAAAAGCAATTTCTGCACACTGTAGTGACCCGCGCAACTACCAACTCCCTAATACAGAAGACCAAAATAACCAGTAATAGGTTAAACGATCGACAATTTAATGGAGTAGTTATCAAGTGTGCCACTCTATTTTACCGGCGCTTTACGTAAGCTGGACTTGTTAAATTTGGTCAATGTTAGTCCCCAGGCACCATGTTGAGGGAAACTAACTCGAAAGACCAACTTCAACGGCCCGCACGCACAGTTGATAACAAACGAGTAAAAAGATATCTGGCCTACAAACAAACAAACGGTTTACCCACACGGATCACTTACCTGCACAATATGAACCGTAGGAAGAACCGCAACAGTGTAAAGGCGCAACGGATACGAGAAACAGATTGTGTTTGCATTGATCTCCCTGGTACGTACGCACCTGACCTGGACCCAGTTACCCGACAAATTGAGCTGACTGCCTCGATTCGATGAAACCCACTGACGACCACAGGTTGGATAAAATACAATGCCACACCCTATAGCCCTTGGTATACACACACACACCAAAACAAGCATGATTGATGCGCCAGTCGGGCAGGTGTGACAGGAACAAATCGGGGGACAACAGCAACACGGGACGAGCGATTGGCCTTTCCGGCTGGACCAAGACGCTCAGTCGGCCGGCAGGAAAAAAACGACCTCGAGATTTGCACAAGATATGATTAGTGAGATGGAGAGCGGAAAAAACCTCGCTCGATGGCCATCCGCGTCCTTCAAGACGACGGTGAAAAAAACGAGCCAAACTGGAGCGCGAACAGCAACGCAGCGCGACATGACGCAAAAACATGCGACAGACCCAACGAGTACAACATTGACAGCAAAGAATGAACCGTCGTGCGGATCATAATCCATACTGTGCTGCTAGGCGCTCGCGAAGCATCGGCGGGCATTGGGTCCAAAATTTGGTCCATTCCTCCTCGCCCACTTGTGCTTTGAAACCATGCAAGATCTGATAAAGTTGAAAAAGGCAATTCGTGGTTTGTTTATAAAAGTGTGTTTATCAAGCCGTAAATGTGTCACCCACCACTGAAACGTACTGTACAGATGTTTTGGCTTGCTTAGGAATCATACGGTAGGAACACTAACCAACAAGGGACAGATCGTCAATAAATTGTCACCATTTTCATGCATAAGCCAAACCTAAGCACTATTTTTCACGTGCGTGCTCGGGATTTGTATATTCTATTGGGTAGAACGACCAGCGTACATTTTCATATGAAACGTAACCATATAAGCTTACATTGAGCACCTCAAGTTAAGCAAGTAGGGTACGTGAAAAATTAACGGTACATTATAAACTATCATAACTGGGTTCGTGCTGGTCTTAATGGGTTTGTACTAGGCCTGATTTACTGATAAACCAAAAAACGAGAAAACTGGGAGTATTTGTTCGGCAGAGTGCCATGAAAACACATGAGATATAAACGCACCGCATGGAAGCGTTCCTTCAAATCTTCTTTAGGTGCGTTCCAAGAAGCTACCGCGTCGCAGAAGAACAAAAAGTCGTTTAGCACGCCGGCCGGATTTAGCGTGATCAGATTGCATATGCCTCGGAATGCGCTATCCTTCTCATCGTTATCCCGAATGTTACGCAAAAATAAGCACCTGGAACGCACGAGGTGAAAAGATAGTCATATGCATTATTCTCAGCGCGACAAACCCCGTTGCACAAGTGCTATCAGTAAGCTACATGATGGGTGGGTGGATGCAGACTTCACCAAGTGGTTAAAATATGGAAAACAGTGCCCAACCTTGCATTCAAGCAACCAGAAGAGTGAAAGTCATGTGTTGATAAGATTTTGCAAGATTAAGGAAGCAACGGTAGAGTCAACAAACAACTTCGGGCTTTACGGACGAAAAACTCACGCCAACCGAATGACAAATCAGACCAGTGATATTGCTGCCAAAGAACAACATGAAGTATCTCACAACCACTTCTCCAGCATAGCAAAGCGAAGTGGCGGTCACCCGAAAATACACCGATTCATACTGGAGTACGCAGATCCACAACAAACAAACGTATGCCAATAACGTCCTAATGAGTTGGGGTAAAGCGCAATCTCAGACAGCGTTGGGTGACAATGGCTGATAACATGGAAGTTATACCGGTTACTAGAGGCATCAGAAAGCTCATTCGTTTGTTTTAAACAGCGTCAAGTAGGAAAGAAACAATATCATCTAGAACGCGACAGAACGAACGGACGCGATCCAGAGGAAAATAAAATACTGAACGCCTTGATCAGCCGCACAACCTCATTAACTCACAAAAAATAGACTCCTTTGCAACGGGATTGACAACTTTTGTATCGCCTAAAATCACATTTTAACTTTTACACAGATCATCGCATAATAATGTGTGGTCCAAAGCGCAGAGAGAGATTGCGAACGATACATAATCATAATTCCCCAACGTTCCGCAGTCGGTCTTTTCACAACAATTAACGCGACACTGCGGTCTGTCAGTAGGGGTTGTCTTTTGGCGGCCAATTCGATGGAGTTGTAAGGGAAGAGTAAATCAAAGCGTTCAAAATAAGGTGCACTATCACAAATAAAGCTAAATAACTGAAGGGAACTAGCCCTTAGCTGTATCTCTGGATGTCTCAAGTCATCGATTACACTGATCCCGGAGATCCCAGCTAGGAGGGCTATTACGATCTACATGACCGAGTTTGCTGGTCTCGGTCTTTCATACACCCATGTCAGATTTTAGTTTGGTCACTCACTCACTCACTATCCATCTTTTTGCCACCCACTATCTACTCAAGTAAACATAGCACATCAATGAGTTATATCTGGTGACGTGAATAATAGGTGCCTCAGCGAACTTAATTCATGGAGGCCGAGCACCTACTTCACCTTGCTACCGCGATCAGTGAAAACTCAGCACCTATCCTAGACATTTCTCGTTCAGTTATCTCACCGGAGGTGAGGATTGCGGCGTAGACAGCGGTTTGTGAACACCGATAGATTGTCTTTATATTGTCTCCATAAACTGCTGCAAAGGCATAGCAGAGAGAGAGAAAACTCGAACTATAAACTGAGTTAATATTGAGCGCATCATGTCGTTCGAACAGGAATCCTCTGGGAATGACTGAGTGTTACCAGACATTCGGCGTTTTGATCAGTGTTATAGAAGATACAAACTGTTGGCGGTCGATAATTTCGCAGACGACTATGAGGCACCAGGGGACGAAGAGAAAGACAGTTGGATCTGAAAGAATGCCTTGCATGGAAGAACAAATGATAATATACTGGACAGTGATTTACCAGTGGCGTATGAACAGCGACAAATGAGGGGCGACTTCCGTGGGACACACAAATCCCAAACGTCCGATAGTTATGGCTGTGAACAGTCATGGATTGAAAAAGAACAAAATGTATCAAGTTAGTATGTGAGAAAAACAAGAACCTTAATATTCAATAATTCAATGGAGAATAAACCGAATAGGAGCCAAACTGGTACATCTTGATTGCAACATCATAAAGAAGGTTGACTTATTGCTGCTTTCTGGTTTGATAGCTTGCTCCCTGATTTTAGAGCTAGAAAGCAACAGTAGCGTCCGTGCACCTACCCATTATTCTTGCAGGCCCAGCCTATATGAAGTCCCTATCTCCACTTTCACTGTGCTTTCAACATTCCAGTTCTCACTATGCTTTTCTATCCTAATGGGCAACTAAAAGACAGCAATCAAAACCGGCGCAGGAAAGGGCATGTCTAATGGTTATTCAAACTGAAACTTCCAGTCACATCATCACATTAACTTTGGGTGAATCTTTAGCCTTATAGGTAGTTATTACTGTAGGTATTCTGAATGAAATGTAAGTTGGATAATAGAAGTAATGGAGCGTAACCACTCTACAGATTCTACACTGTTCAGCCAATCCGATTTCATCATGGCTACTTCATAGAAAATGTCGTATGAGTGAAAGAAAACACGAGGCAGCATGTGTTGAATGGATGAATAGCTATGAGAGCTAGAAACCCAATCATTTTCAAATCAATTCTCAACTCGTAGCCATTGCCTTCGCCTGAAACCAGCCGTTCTAATTCAGACCGATCCAGTTTGAAGAAAACGCTCTCTGCATTTTTTCGCAGATCAGGTGACTGGTTTTCTTTTTATCGGATTGAGAGGCTTCGATTCTTCGCGTGTGTCCCGGGTTCTTAAACCCGATGCGGTCAAACAGACCAAACGCAATTTTTCACTAACGCTCAAGTACATTTTGCAAGGCATGACAAGTGTGACTTGTTTTTCACATGCAGCGGAAGACCAACACAAAGCGGTCGACTTTGCCCACAAGACGCACGGATCGTTCGTGAGGGCGTGTGAATGGGCCTGNGAGCGGTGATCACGGTTTAGCATTCTACACGATCTGAACGCGTAGAAGTGCAAATGAACAACAGCTGAAATATCCACTCAGCCGTATTTCCGGCATGTTGAATCACGTGATAGGAATATATGTATGCAACAACATATAATTCGTGCAACTGCGCCCGATCGTGTCTGTGAATGTGATCCAGCGTAAGCGCAAAGACATAGGAGGTTAAAGTGATGTTGTTTACAAGGTAGGGCAAAAAATGTGAGTGACGGAAATACGTATCATAAGCTGCAACAGGACTGTCTATTACACTCAACTTCCCGTAGTTGGATAGAAAAATTGAACTACATTATGTCATTTATCCCAGTGCTTACTCGTCTTTTCTTTCGTTGTTTAACATCACCGTATCCCTGTGGTTAACGGAATGGCACAAGTCGATCGAATCGCTAAGCCACGCAAGGATCCATGTGCACGAAATAAGTGAAGAAAATACTCAAAGTCCAGGTGCACCCTCCCCCCTCCGCCCAGACCGAGAGATGTACACAAACGTGCACGTCAGTCTTGGATGCTGCGTGAAGTGTTTTGCGATGAGCGGAAAGAGGCAAAACCAGCCCTAGATGGTTGCCCGTCATGGTGTTTATATGATCGGGGGTAGACGAAGACAAGCACACGGACTCGGTGCTGTGTTTTGTGATGATTGTGCGTGTGTGTCAAATAATTGTATTACGAGACACAATCCGGTGCACAGTAATAGCACATTAACGAGGCAAGGAAAACCACCTTATTTGGAGAGACGTGTAGCACAAGTTAGAATGAATGGGTCGTTTGAGCGACATTGTGTGATCGAGGTCATAAATGTGTGGCACGGAGTGGAACATAAACGACTACTAGCAAACTCGAGCGTAGGTGAGTGGTGCATAGACTTGTGTGTATCAAATTGATGGCTTAAAGTCAAATCACATTCCTGTCTCATACATATTCAATCAGCTTAAGCGCACTGGACCTATGAGAGTGAAGACAACCGATTGAAAACGATCATTCGATCGGTAAAAGTTTTGACAATAACTTCGATAACTGTTGATTATGCGAACGACTTTCGGCTTCCATACAAAAGAAACTGATTTGGTATTGCTGTTCGTTATCTCACTTGATCTTGATGGTTAGAAACATACTACTGTTATAACAAAAAGCCAAAGAAACTATTTTAACTTGGTTACCAACCCAGACCCATGTTAGACAACCTACACAAGATTAACTGACTACGTTTCAGATAAAAGTTCCGCTTACTGCCTGTCACACTGAACGACATCTAAAATGAAATATCATAAAGAACACGCCACATTACACAGATGGTTACTACAGATATCTACCCGCTCTCTATCCTTTGTTTCTAAGATCGCTAGCCGGACAGGAAAAGTGAGAGAACGAAATGAAAAAGGAACATGAGAAATTTATCTCGATAGGCCAACCTATCCGTTTTTAATGACAAATAGGGCCCACACTTGAATATGCAGTCTCGTATTTCTAATATATATATATATATATATATATATATATAC